ATTTTAGCTATAGGATTTTTGTAGATGCTTTTATCATGTTGATGAAGTTCCTTTCTATTTCTAGTTTGCTGAGAGTTTTTAGAATGAATGGGAGTTAAATTTTGTCAAGTGCCTTTTCTGCATCTTGAGTGGTCCAAGGTTTTTCTCTTCTGTTACTATAGTAGATAAAACTGATTGATTTACCTAAACCAACTTTCTATTCCTTGGAAAAACTTCACTTGAATTATCCTCTTTACATATTGCTGGATTAATTTTGCTAAGAGTTTTTGCATCTTCCCAAGGGATATTGGCCCATAGTTTACTTTTCTTGTAATGTCTAGTTTTCCTATCAGTATAATGATAACCTCATAAAATGAGTTAAGTGTTTTCATGTTCTGAAAGAGTTTATGAAATCTTGGTATTCTTCTCCCCTAAAGGTTTGAGAACTCACAATGAAACCACTGGAATCTTGTTTTCTTTGTGGGAAGGTTTTAATTATAAATACAATGTCTTTAATAAGTATAAAGCTACCTTGGCTTTCTCTTCTTGAGTATTTTTGGTAATTTGTGTTTTTCAAGAAATGTTTCTACTTTCAGTTGAATTTATTGGCATAATGTTGTTCGTATTCTTTTATTTTTCTCTTGATATCTGTAAGATCTGTAATGATGTCCCCTTGTTCATCATTTGTGTCTTCTCTTTTTTTCTTGATGTCTAGAGGTTGATATAATTTATTGATCCTTTCGTCTTTGGCTCAAGAGATTTTTCTCTATTATTTTTCTAATCCATTTTCTAGTTTGTTGGTTTCCTTCTACTTTGGGCCTAATTTGCTCTTCTGTTTTAGGGTTGAAGTCAGCCAATCAATTTAAGACATTTCTTCTTTTTTGATATAAGTATTCAAACTAAATTTCATCCCAAGTATTGTTTTAGCTCTCATACATTTAAAAACCTTGTATAGTCATTTTCATTAAGTTCAAAATATTCTTTAATATTATTTGCTGTTTCTTCTGTTACATGGTTATTTAGAAGTGTGTAGTATAATCTCCAAATATTTTGATTATTAACATAGTTATTCATTTCTAATTCAGTTGTTATTCTAAGAGCACATACTATGTTTTTATAAACTTTGATTAGAACACAACCAAACCCACTCATTTACATATTGTCTGTGGATTCTTTGGTGCTACAATGGCTGAGTTCAATAGTTATTTGTTATCACTTCTGTGATTGATAAATTGTCCATTTACCTTGTATTTTTTATTTTGTTTAGATTTTGCATTTCCTGGTGAATAGAACACTTTACTAATATATAGTAATCACTTGTGTCACTAGTAACGTTTTTGTCTTAAGGTCTTATTTTAAAAAGCTTAATATGGCTATACTGATTTCTTTTTGGTTAATAGTTAACTCTTTTGCTGGATTACATGGATGACATACCTTTATCCTTTTATTAAAAAAAAATTTTCATTAAAGTAGCAACCTAAGTGTCCATCAGTAGATGATGAATGCATGAAGAATATGTGGTACATATACACAACGGAATACTACTCAGCCATAAGAAAGAAACAAATCCTACCATTTGCAACAACATGGATGGAGCTGGAGGACATTATGCTCAGTGAAATAAGCCAGGTGGAGAAAGACAAGTGCCAAAGGGTTTCCCTCATTTGTGGAGTATAACAACAAAGCATAACTGAAGAAATAAAAGAACAGCAGACTCACAAACTCCAAGAAGGGACTAGCGGTTACCAAAGGGGAGGGGTAGGGGAGGATGGGTGGGGTGGGAGAAGGATTGAGGGGTATTATGATTAGTACACATGGTGTGGGGGGGGCGGTCATGGGAAGTGTAGCACAAAGACAAGCAGTGACTCTGTGGCATTTTACTACGCTGATGGACAGTGACTGCAGTGGGGTATGGGGGGGACTCAATAATATGGGTGAATGTAGTAACCACATTGTTTTTCATGTGAAACCTTCATAAGAGTGTATATCAATACCTTAATTAAAAAAGTGTAATCAAAGTAGTAAGTGGACACAGATTTAAAAGCCAAAAAGCCCAAAGGCGTTCGTAATAAACACTTACAGTTCCACACCTCCCTCTTCGCCATGCTCCTCACTCTTTAAAGTCATCTTCCAAAGGCAAACACTTTAGAATCCATCCTTACTTTTAAGTAAAGTAATATGTATGTACAATATTTTGTTGTTTATTCCTATCTTATCATTGTAAGGGTTTAGCTGTCTGATGCACTGTCCCCTCAGCCTCCCGACCCATTCCAATATATTACTTTTGACTAAGTGTTTGGGGTTTCTATGTAGGTATGTAATTATTCATAGCTGAACATTTTAGTATACTAATTTCTTTTTTTTTTTATTTCCTGAAGTTGATGATTGTTTTTTTTGGTACTCATTGATAGTTCCTGCACCTTCTGTACATTTCTTTTTCTGGGAGGCACATTCTAAATTATTCCATGCTTGTTGTTTCAGGGTTGATTTATTTTTAGTCTCGTTGTAGGTCTGTCATCTTGGAAGTCTGTTGTCATCCTAGTTTTTCTCCCTTTCCCTGATTAGGATTCTCTTTTGCTGGATTACACGTTTCACTGTTTTTTTGGTCTGCTTACTCTTTCTTGGTTTATTTGGTTTACTTAAAAAAAAAAAATGGGAGCATTTTTTCCCCAGTAGCCTTTTTGGGTTAGAAAGGCAGCAATTCAACAATGGTATAGTAATGCCAGCCCTTCAAATTTCTGTCTTTTAAGCCTCAGTGATGCAATAAAAACTGGTTGTTCTTTATGGAAGCTGCACTGCCAATGTGGGATCTCTCTTCACCATGTTCCTTGACCTTTGCCTCTCTCCTCTGTTAGTTAGCTCCTGTTTTCTGTATGTGTATCTTTTTCTTTTTGGTTTATGCTTTCATTTTGGAAGAACATGGCCTCCAATAGCTTCTTGAGAAAGGGTGCTGGGCGGGGTGGTAAAATTTTTTAGCTTTTGTGTGTCTGTGAAGGTATTTATTCTATCCTCACATTTACTGAATAGTTTAGCTGGGTACAGAATTCTAGGTTGGTGTAATAGTTAAGGAATAGACCCCAACAGTTCAAACAAGATAGTTTATTCATCTCTTATACTGATAGTCCAGAGGAAGCAGGCAGGAAGACAAGGCTGCCTAAACACCCAGTTTCTTTCCACCTTGTTGTTCCACCATTCCCTAGGTCAGTCCTAAACCAACTTACCAGCAACACACGTGAACTCAAAGTCCACAGGAAGGGGAAAGAAAGGAAGTGGACAGCAGTAATTTTCTTTAAACCTGTGACCAAGGAAGTTGTGTATACTCTGTGTATGTCCTTTTGGCTCCTGTGGTGTGAAGTTATTTTCTAGTCCATCTTTTTTCTCAACATGCTGCCTTTTCAGGTCCTAGTTTTACACAGGTTTCTAAATCCAGTTTCCATGTGAGGGCTCTAGTATTTATTTTCTATGCTCTCTGGGTGAAACCCTTTAAAACCCCAAATTCCAGGCCCCCTGGGATAGACAGAGGTCTGACCAGACCATCAGCTTAAGCTGTAAGGGTTTCCCAACACTTGAGTAATATGCCCGACCCTCACCACTACCTACAAAGCCCTTGGTGGTCTGGCCCTGCTCTCACTTCCCGTATCTTCCCCTCTCATACACAAAGCTAAGCTCCTCTAGCCTCCTTGCTGTTAAGCTTTCCCACCTCCTGGCCCTCTTCCTGAAACTCTTCCTTCAGATATCCATGGGACTTGCCGCCTCCCTTCATTCTGCTCAAATGTCACCCTGTCTCAGGCTTTTGCTGACCACTGTGAGCAAAATATCCCACCATCACTACTCCCTACCCACTTTACTTCCCCTCAGAGCATCCATCAGTACTGACACGGTATTGTATTTTATTTGTTCACGGTGACTCTCCCAGTAGGTTTGTGCCTATGATCTAGAAAAGTGATTCCAGGGAGGAGTGAAGGAAGGTACATGAACAGATGAGGAGCCAGTTGAGTCAATCTCCCACAGGACCTTCTGAAACTATGAATAGTGGCTCAGAAATATGTCAGAGAGAGAAGATTGTATAACTCAACTGCTGGCTCCTTTTGTCAAAGTGGTCCCCCCAGGTGTTTAATTCCCCTGCATTTCTGGATTTCATGTGTCAGAAGTTTCAGGGCAAGAAGCAAGGGCTCAGGCCTTAGGTGAGACCCTGTCAGTTGTCCCTGTGAAAAGCTGGTCACAGCCTGTGTGGAAGTTGCTGCAGCAGTGGCCAAATTAAGAGGGGCTGAGAGACTACAATACAGGGACCTTTTATGAGTATGTCCTGCACCTCTCTTTTCTAAGCACTTAGATCTGAGGGGCTGGCATGCAGTAAAGACTCAATAAATATTTATTGAATGAATGAACAGTGCTGCAGTCAAGTGGGAGAAAAGCAAGTAGTATTAAGAAAACAAAGTGGGTTGTGGGTTATAATGGGCTAAGTACAGGTTGTTAGGGCACCCTCAGCAGGAGCCTAGTCAGTCTATAGGAGCACAGAGGGCTTTCTGGTGAACATGGTCCTTAAACTGAAATCTGGAAGATGAGCGGGCGTTACTCACAGAGCACTTGCACATCTAAGTAAAAGTATCAGGAATAGAGATCACAGGTAACATTCACCAAACTCTTTCCATGGACCAATTTGCTGAGTGCTTAATGGGTCTTGTTGTTTAACCCTGTAACACGTGGACTGTTTGATCTGTTTTACCCAGGGAAGACCTGAAGTTCAGAGAAGTCAGGTGTCTAGGAGTGACAGGGTACTGAGATAACCACTCCCCCTATTTTACATAGGGGTGACTAAGACCCAATACAGGAGCAGTGACTTGCCAGAGGTCACAGGAAGTTAATGGCAGAGCCGGGACTAAAACCCAGGTCTCCTAATTCCTAGACTTGTATCCCTGTTCCAAAGCTGGCCTGACCGAACAAGGGCTCAGGAAGAGTGAGAAAGGTGGAGGGTGAACTAAACATGGCCAAGCTGAACTGGGTGGGAACTGCCTCCCCAGGTATTACCGTAAGAAAATGAAGGAAGGCACCGGTAAGGCCTGAGAGATGGAATCGCCCACAGGCCGGCTGCGGTCCCAAAAGAAGCTTCCCTACAACCCCCAGGAGGCAGACACCTTGGAAGTCCCAGACGAAGGATCCTCAGGATCCTGAGCAGGCGGAAGCAGCAGAACTGCGGTGAGGGCCCTGGGCACTGTGGGAGTCCTGCTCTCCTTCCTCAGGATCCTGAGCAGGCGGAAGCAGCAGAACTGCGGTGAGGGCCCTGGGCACTGTGGGAGTCCTGCTCTCCTGCCCACCTGGCTTCTTTCCCTGGCCCTATGCAGCAAGACTCAGGAGCAGAGGGACAGTTTCCTACTTTGGGCTTAACTGTGTGCGTCAGTCAGTGGGCTGGTAGTTGCTAACCCATCTCCGGCTCTCTTTGACAAAGTCCTTCTGCATGGACTCTTCCCTGTGCCACGTCCCGAGCATAGATTGCTCCCAAGAGCCTGGACTGAGAAGGGAGAATGATTAGCACCCCCAGCTCATCATTTATTGAGCACCCCCAGGGGTCAGTAAGCTAGACCTTTTGAAGATGCACTGGAATTTCATTCTCATTATCATGTATTTACGCCATTTTACAGACAGAGAAACACATCTAGGAAGTTTAAGCAACTTATGGAAGGCCCCACACTAGCCTGTGTCAGAAAGGGGAGTTCATACCTAGGTCTGACTCTAGAACCTGCGCTCTATTCACTGGGCAAGGCTGCCTCCCTGTTAGCAGTTAGACCTGTCAGACTCCTACTATGTGCCAAATGATGGGCTAGATTTTCAGTCTAAGTGTGCCTACCAGACTCTGCTGGGACCTATCACAAAGATACCCATTCCTTTTTAAGCTGTTATTAATCTTAATGCTATGCTCAACATTCAACTGACTGCTTTGCATGTATTCTCTCTTTAATCCTCAAAAGCAATTTTGTGAGGTGGACACCACTACCATTTCCAGCTTACAGAGACTCGAGAGGTTAAGTGCCTTGCCCAAACCCAGTCAGCTCATTACGTAGCAAAGCAAGGATTTCACCTGGGTCTGCTGCCCCCAAGGCCAGGTATGCTCTGAAGCATTCCCCTTTCCTGCCTCCTCCTCCCTTGCCAGCTACCAACCTGCAGAGCCCCTACACCCAGGTACCCTGCATCCTGCTCTGCCCACGGCTGGACAAGAAGACAGTCTGCCGTTAGAAGGGCAGCCACTACGTGCTGGGTCAGTGCACTCCCAGAGAGAGGCCTGGGCCCGGACATCCATAGCCTCTTCTTCCCATCAGGATCTCAAGGAAGCGGGTGGGTGCCAGGGCAGGGCTCCAGGCTATGCCCACCCACCTCTTTCCCGCCTAACCAGATGGGAATCCACCCTTCCAGAAATGATGCCTAGGAGACTGCTCCTCCCAGGAGGAAAAGGGGGATGGAGGAAGGGGGAGGAAACTCACCTTTGTTGAAGGCCTGTGTACCAAGTAGACTGTACCTAAGTCAGGGTTACTTATGCCTTCCTGTGCCCAAGACTCAGTGGTACATAGTTTGTCCCTCTCAGACCAGCACTACCTGCCTTTCTCATGCCGGGGCCACTATTCCATGAGGTTAGATGCTATCCATTAGGAATGAGGAAACCTGGTCAAGGCAGTGGAGCTATGAAGACCTATATCCTTCTCTCCCCGGCCTCTCGCCCCCAAGGAATACAGCTCTGACAGCCGAAAGTGGCTCAGCTCTGTGCTGACTCGAACCCACTGGCCCTGCAGAGTCCTGACTCTGGGCTGCTGTTCAAGGCTTGCAGACTGACAGGTCACTGAGCAGGGACCCTGCTGGATTTTGCTTTTGTAGCCTGGTAAGCCAATAAACACTTAAGAACCTCAGCTTCTGTGCCTGGTTTTCACCCATCCACTCGGCTCTCAGAGCACAGGGCTCCAGCCTCACCTCCTTCACACCTGGGAACCGTTGAAGCTGTTCACCTCAAAACCCTGCCGAGGGTCAGGCTCCTGCTAGAGGTGACCCTGGATGCAAAGCCTTGAACTTCTATGCACTCTCAAAGCACAGAGTCAGAACTCTTCTCAGATGAGTGTCTCACTGTTTGGCCTAGGAGCCCCACAAGGGCAGGCCCCTAAAAGGGACAGACCAACCCCATGGAAGGGCTGGAGGGGCCTCAGCCATGCTCTTATCAACAGAGCCCCAGGACCCAGGAGTCCCCTCCCGCTGGAGCCTGAGGGGCAGATCCTTACCCCTCAACCCATATGCCACCCCAGGCCTACTTCTCTAAGAAAGAGAGCGCCTCTCCCTGGAAGCGAGCAGAGGTAGCTCTCCAGTAGTTAAATAAGCAGCCACAGCAAGAGGTTAAGCCAGGGACTGAAATGAGGACAAGGCTCTGACAAGTTTAAAACATGTATTTAAAATACAATTTATAAAATGCTTAATCTGCCGACTCAGGAGCCCGCGGTGCAGGGTGGGGTGGGGTAGGCAGCTGCCCGCTAGACCAGCAGAGCACACTGCAGGGGTGCGGCCCTCCCTCCCAAACCCTTCTGTTCAGACACCCAAGGGGACCAAGTGTACCCCAGGGATCACATTACCAGAAAACAGGCCCCAGAGGTTTCCAGAGCCTCTGCTTACCAGGGAGGATGGGGGCAGCCCTGGCGGCCCATCCCTGAGCAGAGCATCCCCAGACAGGGCAGAGCAGGGTACAGCTGGGCTGGACAGGGCGGGGCAGGATGGGGCAGTGGGCTCTGGAAGGGGCTGATGGTAGCAGATAGGGTGTTGCCTCCTGCCAGCAGGTGGGGAGCACCCTGAGTGGGCTGAGAAGGGTTGGTCACCAGGCCCTGACCCTCAGCTCCTTTGGTTATAGGCTGACATCAGAGTAGTGGCTCATGGGAAGCGGTTAGCTGGAAGGTCTGAGGCCTGGCTTACGGGGTCAGGGAGGAGCTGGGGGAAGGGGACAGTACCATGAAGGCAGATAAAGGGGCAGCAGCCTCAGGTTTCTGCCCCCCCCCACCCCCCTGGGGGTTTTCCAAGCCAAAGCCTGCAGCTTACTTAAAAAAAAAAAAAAAATTAAAAAAAAAATTAAAAGCACTTAAGGAAAGTTACAGACAACTACTAAAAAAAAAAAACAGAAAACAAACACACACACAAAATCCAAACCGTTCTCCCATCTCCCCTCCCGCCTCCCCCCAACGCAACAGTTGCCTGTCTTCATTTCTTTCTTTCTTTCTTTTACAATTTGCCTGCCACATCTCCATCTGGGAGGCCAAGTGTACAGTTGCTGGTGGGTGGTGACAGGCACACAGAGGGCAGAGCCCATCTTTGGCTGGTGGGAGGTGGGAACACCAGCTCCTACTGCATCCTCAATCCAGACACCCACCAGCCAGCCTGCCCTCTGGCTCTCTCGGGGGGAGTGGAGGCAAGACCAGGTGGTCCCCAGGTATGAGCAATGAGCACTTGTAGCCTTCCCACCTGGCCTACCTTTGCACTCTTCTCCAACTCAAAAGACAGCCTCACCTGGGGCCAGAAACCACTATTACCTTAGGGATGGGCACTATACATCTAGAATGAGGAAACTTGGTCAGGGAGGTGGAACTATCCAGGCAGCAGCCAACCTTCTCCCTCGCCCACTTCTGGAGGAAATTCCCCCTCAGAGGGGCCTATGGCACAACTCACCCTCTGAGTTCTTACTGAAGCTCTGTTCCAGCTCTGCTCAGGACAATTTCCTGGCTTCACACAGTTGTTAAGCCTGTGTGTGCTACGGACTAATTGCTGATTCACTGGCAGCTGGCCCTTCCTTGTAAGGGGAAGAGGTAGTGGGACACGGTTTGCTAGGCCTGGCCTACATTCCCAGACAGTGCACACGCAAAACCTAGCTTGCCACCTTGGCCACCACAAGCTGCTCTTGTCACAAAACAAGACACCAATCACTCCAAAACTCATCCTCTGAGGAGGCAGGCTGGCTGGCACAGTGCAACAGAAGAGACAAGAAAGTGAGAGAGGAGCCAGACTGTCCACACAGAGAGCTGTTCTTAGTTATTCCACCTCTAGGAGCCAGAGCAAATCTCTAGGCTCCAGGGACAGAGAGGAAACTGCCTTCATTCCAGGCCCTCACTCTGGGAAAAAGGGTAGAGGGTAGCTTAGGTCTATGGGGGACCAGTCTGTCACCATCAATCTTTGCAATGCGCAACTTGGCTTTTCCCAAATGTACTCAGAACGGTCTGTTTCAAAGGTAGTGATTTCACAAAGGAAATGTAGCAGGTGTAGTTACTGAGCTGCTGCCATCTACAGAGATGTGCTCCACAGACCCTTAACTTGAGAACCCAAGCCTTGCTGGAACGGGAAGATCTAGCCATCTCCTGACCACAGTCGGCAGGAGGCCAGAGTCCTGGAGCCAGACTCTCTTCTGGCTTTCCTTGTGCTAACAGCAAAATACTGAGCAAGTCTCACATCCCTTACTTCTAAGCCCAGGGGTACCATCTGTCTCTGCCCTCTTCTAGAAGTAGCAAGCCTGGCTGGTAGGGAACCATCCTGAGGGGTGTGGGAAGGGGAAGTCTGTTCACTTTCCCCATCTCCCAAAATACTAGAGGTGGGGTTGGCACCCTCCCCAGGCTCTTTGAGCCTAGAGTTAGCACAGTCCAGATGGGGGCCAAGATGCCCTGGGACTTAGCTGGGGGAGGGAGGTATAGGCATGGGGTGTTCATCTGTCCTGGGAGCTGCAGAGCCCTGCCCCTTTTCTGGGCAGCAGTAGGAATACAGAAGCTAAGCTCACCAAAATTCTATTGGTTAATGTTTCTAGTGAGTTTCCCAGAAACATTTTTAAGTGGACTATCAAACTATCCTTTCTCAATTAAAAATTCATTAAACTGCTAAAGCCCTCCATGCACTTTTTCTTGAAATCAGATATCTGTATAAACCAACAAAAATAGGGGGGAAAAAAAGGATATTTTCCAATGGAACTTGCTTTTAAGTGATGAAGACATGCACTTGGAGGGTGGGTGAACAGGAGTTCTCATTTGTGTTTCAAAATCCCAAATTAATGAGCATGATAAACTGTTATTGCTGGCACTGGCTTTACCCCAAGTGGCCAAGTGGCACTGTCTGACTCTATGAGTCCTGGGTGGGTCCCTCCAACCCTCCCCTAAACCCCCACCCTTTCCCTTTCCATTGACTTGGGACAGCCCTTAAAGACGTGCCAATCACAGTGGGAAGGGGGGGAAGGGGGAGGTCACAGTGCATGGGGTTCAAGGTCACAGTGGGCGGAGCAAAGGGGATCACAGTGCAAGTTAATCAGGTCGTTCCCTCTGCTCAAGTCCAGCTGTCTGCCACGGCAGTGCGACCCGTGGAGGACGACCCAGGAGGTGGCGGCGGTGGCGGCATCCTTTCTTGCATGCGTTTATCTGCGCTGCTTGAAGCCTTGTGACCCATCAGGACCCAAAGGCTGTCTGATCACATTATTGGGCTGCCTGCTGTCTTCAGGTTGGGAGATCCTGGTTGGCCTGGAGGGAAGAAAATCAGAGGAAGGCCTGAAAAGGGATATAGAAGAGGTCCCCAAATCTTAAAACCAACCACTCCATTTAGCTGGGGCAGAAGTCAAAGTGGCCATCAGTTAACTCTGGCTCCCCGGGCCAGCTTCTTTGGCAAGCAGACTCAGAGCGCCAGCAAGCCGGAAAGCCCCTGTGGGCAGGCGGGGTGGGTGGTCTTTAGCGCCAGCAGCACTGTTCCCCCAATCTGGGTGGCCATCACTCATCTGGAGGCAGGGGGAGTGCTCAAGGGCCCATCCTGCTAAGAAGCAGAGACCAAGGACAGCTCCTTCTCCACAGCACCATGTGGCTCAGACTCTCCAGAGTGTCCAGCCAAGGTACAGACCCCTAAACGAGAGCTCAGGAGGACCTGGAACCACATCACTACCCTCCTGCTTCTCAAACTCATGTGATTAATGGTTGACTCATATTACTATAGAAGATTAAAAGGAAATAGACTTTTTCTACTCTGCCAAGTGAAGGTTTAGCAGAGAGATAACAGAAGTCTACCAAAATAATGAAGGGATAGAAAGAAACTACATAGACTAAGTTCTTCCCGTCTCAGAATACCAAGACCAAGGAGGCCTCTCAGTTAGAAAAAGGCTGTTTTAAGAAATACCGTACTGCTTTACCAGGTGACAAACTTACATAATGCAGCCTCTAGGACTGCAGAGAAAAAAAACACTAGGAATAAAAAGGAATTTGGAAGATTCACAAAAGACCACAGTAGGCTATTATGAGACCCAGAAGGTGATACATAAGCACCTAACTGGGGCACTTTCCACTGTGCCAGGCAGGAGTCCCAGAACCCAGTGCTCATTCCACTGCATGATAACTTGAGGAGGCAGGCGTCGGCATTACCCCATTTTTCAGATTAGGCTATGAAGGCACCGAGGGGTGCCCCGTAGCTCTAAGCTAGAGAGAAGTAAGTGGCAGAGGTAGGCTCAAACTCCAGCACGTTTTGACTCACACTCCAGGCCTTTAACCTCTATACCACGCTGTCCACCTCCCCCACCCTCTGCTGCGCCTACAGAGGCAGAACATCAGCAAACCCCACCAGGCCAGGGTTTGCAGCTGGAGCTATGATCGGTCCACCTCTTCTCACTGGTCTACCTGCAGCCCGGCTGTCGTCGTCGTCCCCCTCCCCCTCCCCCTTCCCCTCCTCCTCCACAAGGTGGCCCGGTGGCGCGGAGGAGCAGAGGAGGAGGAGGTCAGGCCTTCCAGCTACACTCACCTGTCGAGGATGGGTTTCTCTTGCTCCTCCTCGGGACTGGCGCTGCCCAGGATCCGCTTCCGGGCCTCCGCGTACTCTGCCTCCCGCTGCGCTAGGGACTTGACAGGAAGGGCCGGCTTGCTGGTGGAGTTGGGGCTGCTGACCACACCGTTGCTGGTGGGCCTCTTGAGGATGCGGATCTGCGGAGGGGGCCCCGTGGGAAGGCTATCGTCCTGAATCACAATGGGCACTTTGGGAGGAGATTTGGATTTCCTGCTGACAAAGAGCAAACACAGCTTCACAAGTCCTACTCCGGACCACAGAACCCCACACGCGTCTCACACCCACCCCTCACCACCTTCCTCTTCCTCTCCCTCCCCCTCCTAATTCTATTCATTATTCTCTGGTTTCTGACCAGACTTCAAGACTCACTCCTCAAGAAGGGTTTCTCAAAGGAGCTACCTTGCCATAAACTCATGCAGTCCACAGGTCTGCTTCTCAGACCTAACCCCCGGCAAAGGCGACTGGACCACCACCTCTTTCTGGGACTTCTATCCCCATGTTCATCACAGTCACATCAACCACTGTTTGGCCCCTGTAGCAACACGTTTCACGTCCAGAATCCGATGACTTCAGTTAAAATCCCAGCTTCCCTCTACAGACCAGAGTTGTAACAGGCTGGAGCAGTGGGAGCCCCTTACCTTGGGGGTCAGCAAAGTGTTCACTCCTAGTCAAGGTCTACTACTACATGTGCTCAGACCAGTCAAACACTACAAAGGAGCCGCTCCGCCATGCCTGCCTGGCATCAAGACAGGATTTACCGAACTGCCACAGCCCTCTGCCGAGTGACCTGTGCCTCCCAGAGACAAGCTGCTAGATAACTGGATTGCCTCTTTAAAAGAGCTTCTGTAACAGAGACAGCTTCCACTCCAGGGCTCTTTGGTACGGTGGACACGGCGGGGCTGGGGTGAAGGATGACCCTAGAAACTGCCTGGCAGTGCTCAAAGAAGCAGCATCGTCCAAGGCTGGTGAGTGCGCACATCCGGGGATGTGTCCACAGAAGTGGAAAACAATACAGGAAGAGAAAGAAACAAAAGGCACAGGGAAAAAGGGATCCAGGCAGGAATGACCACCCTTAACGGCCACAAAGACCCTCCTCTGAGCAGTCAACTAGCTTCTCTCCAGAACCAGACAGCCCACAGGGACCTGTTTTTGAAGTCTTGTTATCAGGAGGGATAGGGACTGGAGGAACTCAGCTGCTGCCCAGGGAATTGGAACAAGTCCTGGGCAGGACAGGAATGGCATGACAAAGGGGCTGTAAACCAGGCCTTAGTGTAGTTGCTGAGACGTGCAGACAAGGAGCCAGCAATTTGATCAAAGAGGAAGGGAGCCAAGAAAGCTAGCAGGCATGCAGGGCGCCCCACTGTGCAAGTTCAGAGAGGCCCCCTCCTCCTCCATGCTGCTTGTCCCTGTGGAAGGCCAACAGGTTATCTAAGCCCAAAGACAGACTGCTGACGTCAACCTTCACCTGCTTTGGAAACCCACTTCTCTGCTGTCTGGGTCGGAAAAAAAGTTATCCTTAAAGGTCTTTAAGAATTTCTGAGAACCTTTCCTACCAGGACACCCCATCATTCCCTAAACCACCAAGTCACAGAGGGCCCCAAGAAATCATCTGTCCAAACTCCTTATGTCACAGAGAGAGAAACTGATGTTCCACAGGGGGAAACAACTTGCCCACAGCTCAGAGCAGTTGGGAGCAGAGCTAGGCCTGAACCTTAAGTCTTCTGACTTGTTCCCTCCCCACTTTCCATCAGCCATCTCACACAGGGTGCCCACTAAGGTGGGAGGCAGGGGCAACTCCAGCCTCACTCCCAAAGCCTGCAGCCACGATGGCCTTGTGAGATGGGACTCGCTGCCCAGAAGCCTGAAACCTAATGACCAGCTGAAGAATACCACTGACTGCCCAGCTCTCACACGGCAGAACGTGTGAGCCCTCAGACCAGACAGCAGCCTTACCTCTCCTTTTGTGTGATCTTCAGTTTTTTTTCCAACCGTCTGTCTATTTCCTAGAGGAAAAAAATGTATATAAAAAGTGGAAAAAAAATCTCTCTTAAGTAAAAACTTAAGCCTTTATTTTCAGAGCTAAGGGCAGTGTCTCTCTCTGACCAGGGACAGACAGTACTACGTCCTCTGAGGTAACAGATGCAGACCTCCCGTTACTAGACTCTGGGGTATAGGGACCTGACTCCCTATGGGTTCATCTCCCTCCAGCCCCCTGGCCACGGCTATAGTTCTAGACCTATCATTCAGCTGGGTTCTTTGCATAGCCTCCAACTAGTCTTAAGGCCTCCAATCTATCCTTCACAGAGTGACTCAAATCAACTTTCTTTACATAAATCTGTCACTTACCCAACTGAAAACGCTTCAACTGTCTGCCAGATTAAGTCCAAGCGCCTAAGCATGCCTTACCCATTCCTTCCTCTATCTTCTGTTCCTGTTTTACACCACAGTGAAACAGCTACTAGTAACCCCCGAGAACCCAGTGTGCTGATCCACCTGCCTGCAATGTCCTCCCCTCTACAAATGCATACTTATCCTGCAAAACTCAGCTTGGATGGCCACCCCTCCTTTGCGAAGTCTTCTCTGAGCCCTTACACAGCTAACCACCTGCGTCTCAGACAGAAGCTCTCCCTTTTACGTTCCTTCATGATGACATGTATCACATATTTTTATGTGATAAAATAACTGCATGACTAGCACAAAACAGAAGTTTAATGTCTGTAGCACTAGATGGCAGTCTGAATCCTCAGGCCCTTAGCACCAGGAACCCGGAGATGTCTCCACACCCTCACGCACGAGCTTCCGTAAGCTGGACAGGGGGAGGCTGTGCACACAGCAAAGACCAAACCTCCCATCCCTTTGGCTGCCCCACTGTTTTTTCTTATAAAACATCCCTCTCAACTGCCCTCAGGGCAAGATCATCTAGCTATCAAGAGAGGAGAAATTGTAAGCAAGATTATGCATTTCTCTGGAGAAAAGGTCTATAACAGTGGTTCTCAATCATGGGTCATTTTGCCCACCATGGGACATTTGACAATATCTGGAGACATTCCTGGTTGTCACTACTGGAGAGGAGATGCTACTGGCATCTAGTAGGTAGGGTCTAGGGATGCAATTCTGCTAAAATCCTACAATGCACAGAACAGCCCCCACAGCAAAGAATTATCTAGCCTTCAAAGTCAACAGGGCCAAGGTGGAGTAAACCTGACTTAAGATATATGGGATTTTTCAAAGGAGTCTATTACTTGCACAATGTTAAGAATCATTGCCTATCTTACTACACTGATGGACAGTGACTTCAATAGCGTATGGTGGGGGGACTTGATAATATGGGTGAATGTAGTAACCACAATGTTTTACATGTGAAACTTTCATAGAAGTGTATTCAGTGATAAAAAAAAAAATTCACTGCCTTAACACTGCCGGTAACACCTGAGGGCCTAGTGTGTAGCCAGTTTTCACAAATGCTCTATATGTACTGAGAATGACTCTTCTGCAGCTGGTGGATACAGTTCAAGCTGGCTACCTGTATTGTTCAAATCTAGATTCCTACTGATTTGATCTGTTAACTATAGAAAGAATCAAGAATTACTCTGTCTAGTAAATTAAACATTTTATCATTATGAAGTGATCTTCTTTGCCTTAAAACCTATTATTTTATATTAATACAGAAATGCCAGTTTTCTTTTGGTTAGCATTCCCTGGAATATATTTTTTTCTATCTTTTACATCTCATCTTTCCATGTCCTTATTTTTGCCTCCTGTCAACAATATGAAGTGAGAGGATTTAATAATGTATGACTGTTGAATCACTATGTCAAATACTGGGAACCAATATAATATTGTATATTATTGATACATCAATTAAAAAAAAATGAAGCAGGTCTACCAATAGGCAGCTAGATTTAAATCCAGTTACTGACACTCATTCTGATTGGCGCTGAGTTGTGCTTAAAATTTTTTTGTTTTTATGAAAGACCCAAAATTTACTTAGGCAGGCAAAACAGACTGTATCCTGAAGGCACCGTCAGTTCTCTGATGGAGGGGCTAGGAAGCTACTAGAATGAAAACCTCTCACTCAGGGCTGGAACACAAGTTGGCACCCAGTGTCTGTTAGGCTGGATGAAAAGGAGCACCAAGATTAAGAGAATGACCTAAATATTTTCTGTGAACTAACAGGCTTTCAAAGCGAATCTATGCCCACAGCATTGTCTGTGTCAAAATTGTAAACCTTTTAACTTTTTTGAGTGATTCCAGTGTTACTGTGTGAGTAAATACTATGTCTCACAACAGATGAATGTCTTTAGCTTTTAAGGGCTTTTCAAGGCTTTCAACAAATAACTTAACAGTTTTAAAGTTCCACACTGTATCATTTTGCTCCCATCTGAAAACGAGACTTCCTGTTCAAGTTTCTCCATCATGAACGCAAGGTTTGACAACTGTGGGATGGATTTAGATGCCTTCAAGTCAGACTGAAACCAAATGCCTCCCGAGGAGAAGCGAGTAACCAAACTCCAAACTCAGGGTGCACAGGTGTGGGTGAACGGTGCAAGGCACCAAAGAACGCTCGCCCCCCCGAAGACAGGCAGCCAAGCCTTGGCTGACATGGCCAAAGCTACTTTAGCTCCAGAGTTTATTACGTGAATTCTCACTTTCATATCACTGTGAGGGCCAAATAAGACACAGGCAAATGAGCCTAATACATCATTTACAAAATGATGGTAAAATACACATTACATTAACTGAGTTTGAGAGGTCCTGTGCAGGTTTCCTCTCAGGACAGCAAACTGCTTCCTTCTTTTTCTAGGGCCTTAGGGATGATAGGCAATCTGCCCAGGCCCAGAAAATGCAGCTCGGGTAGACAAAAGCCCTTGAAGAAAGCATTAAGGACTGTGAGTAAATGTGCCTCTATGCCCAAACTAAAACATGACCAGCATACTCGGCATATAATATAAAAATACTGGCTTTAAAAATAATGCTTTACTTCAATATAATGTTTCATGGCTGTCAATATACTTCCCCAAACACTCATTTTCTGCTCACACCAACCTTGTTTGATATACAAAGCAGCTTCCATCCTGGTAATGTGGCTCTGGGAGGTTAAGGAACTCACTCGCCCTAGAACTAACGCCTTTGAGGCCCAACCTGACACTGCTGCCCCCACAACTGTTCAAATTCCTAAGAATGCTGGCAACGCCACTAGACATTGATTTTCTCCCCTCATTTCTCCTGAATTGCACACCGCTCCCTGGCACTCCAGCGACTAACACTCCCAGCAAACGCCATCGCATCAGGCAGGTCAGCTCCTGAGAGGTGAAGAGAAATTCTTCATCAGATTAGAGAATGGATATGAACAGAACAGTTGTGGTGGGAAGCTTATCCTCGCCATCTCCAGATGTCCAGTTGGGTAACACTGTGCTCAGAGCCACCCAAGCAGGAGAGGCAGTGCTCTGCCAGCAGCTGACAGCACTGCAGCTCACTCTGGAGTCTGTCCAGTTATCATGAGTCAGTCCATTCTCTCCTTGGACAAGGCCCTGCAATCAATTTGAAGAGCTTTGAAGAGCTGGACCAATTTGAATTTAACTACAAGGCACACCACAAGGAGAAGCACGTTTTCTCTAGAGATGCAGTAGCCCAGTGGAATTAACAGGCTTCAGGATGTTGTGTGAGGAAGCTTCTAGATGAGGGTCCCAACAAGGAAATTTAAAACTTAAGAGCACCTTCTTTTTTCACAAGGATAAACAGAGCCCTGGCCCAAGGTCAAGGCTCCAATGTTAGAAGCCCAACCTCCAAGGCCAGAGAAAGAAACCCATAAACTCATCACTCTATGACTCTGCTCTGAGAAAGGGCCACCAGAGTACAAGAAAAATCTTAAGTAAGGTACTATGTTTGATTTCTCTGGAAAAGGCTTGCTATTTTTTGCAAAGTAGCACTGAGCAGACTCCAGCAGATGACACACTCTGTGCTCTGTTAAGTGGGGCAGCCTCTGGTCTTGGGGTCAAAACCTAAGCAAAAGATCTGCTGCTACCAAACACAGGTATACTACACCTCTACAAAAATGAGGTACACACTTGATCTGAGAGGACAAGCAAAACCAGAAGCAAAGAGGAGAGGCAGGTCATGAAGAACCACAGTGGCAAGCAACATGGTTGTGGACAGGGCTGGTCCTTTATGGAGGTAAATAGGTCAAAGTCATAATGTGAATGAAATCAGATGTCAACATATGCAAACTCAACTCACCTGAGGAAGCAGCGCAGGTTCACTGGCTGCTGATACCCTTAACCCTGCAACAATTATGCTTGTATGCCTCTGACAGAAAGTGGGAGATGGAGGCATATGGGGGAAGAGCAGGGAAGCGGGCATCTCAAACAGCCTAACTCGTTACACAGTCACAATCTTCAAAAGGAACAAAGGTGGCAAAGAGGATAGGGATGTATCTGCAAGGGGAGGCAGATTATAAGGACACATTCACTCCTGTAACATTAAAAAGTAGGTAAGAAAGGAAAAGAGAAAGGTGAGACAGGCAGAGGAAGGGAAGAAAGGCAAGGGAGAGCAATAAATAGACTATTCTGGGCCTTGGAGCAAAGGACAGCAAGAAAAGCAATATCACAACTGTACTCAGACTTGGAAACCAAAAACAGACTCAGTTTACCTAGGGGTAATGAAGCCCTGGGGACTGACTCAAACTAGTCAAACTCACTAGAGACAGCGTGAATAACCCAACCATCATCTGTTATTTCACTAAGGGGTTGTGCTGCCCTTTCGGGTGTCTGATTTGCTGTTGACACCCCAAGGCCTTCCCCACTAGGGCCAATGAGAGCAGTCCTGCTCCACCATCACATCTCTCCTGATAATTGGACTCCTCGTCACCAATGTGATCAACACACCTCCTAAAAATCCACGAAATTTTGAATTAAATTGTCTGAGAGGCACCCTTGGTTCCTGGCTCCATGTTAGGAAATAACCCCCTTTTTTTTAATCATCAATGATTACTATTTAAGTGACT